AATAATTTGAAAATTTTTTTAAATGGAGTCCATATTGAATTAATTGTTTGTCATGTTAATTTACCGCCATACGATTGTGCGTCGCGTGCAACTTATATATATTTATTTTATTCTCTTTTGTTATTATCATTATTATTATTATTAAATTTAAAACGGATTTTGCTGACGTACGTACGTCACTTTAAATAAAAAAAAAAAAGAATTAATTTTATTTCGCTGAGTATATTTTAAGAATATATAATAATAATTAATCATTCATTTGACGTATGATTTTTTGAAATGTTTAATATCAGTTACAAAAAAAAAAAAAAAAAAAAAAAAAATGTCGTTTGTTTGTTTAACGTTTTTTTTTTTTTTTTTTTATATCTTAAATAAAATTTTTTAAGGTTTGAATTACAAAAAAAAAAAAAAAATTTATCTTTATCATTTACAAACAACGTATTCGTCACGAAATTAAGTTACGGGAAGTTTCCGACATTTTTTAAATATCGCGTTAAAAAATTTACTTAATAAGTTATTCGAGTAATAATAATAATTAAAAAAAAAAAAAATTTTTTATTAGTTTTAGTTTTTTACGTTCGAGTTAACTTGTCCTTTGTCTCAAAGGTTACGTCTCTATCATTTTTTTCGGTCGACGGTTTGCCCGGGAAAATTGTTAAACGGTTTTGCCAACTTAAAAATTTCAAGCGTGTAAAATTTTTTTAAAATGTCGTCTGTTTTATTTATTTTTTTCAGGTAATGGCGTCGTTATACATTTACCTGGATTGTTTGAAGAACTTACGAAAAACGAATTGAAGGGTTTAACGGATTGGCAAAGTCGATTATTGATATCAGATCGTGCGCATTTAGTATTTGATTTTCACCAGGTAATAATAATAATAATAATTAATAATTTTTTTTTTTTTTTCAAAAAGTAATAAAAACCACACTTTAACTTATTGTTGTTTTTTAATTTTGACCTTTTGATGGTAATCAGCCATCAACCGTTTTTTTTTGTTTTTTTTTTTTTTTATTGTGGTCGAAGCAATTATTTGCTGGTGTTTGCTTTTCGAAATTATTTAATTTTAGCCTTTTTTTTTTTTTTTTTTGGCTATTTTGGCTATTTGAAATTTATCAGAAATTTAAATTTTTTTTTTTTTATGATATGATTATAAGGTTTTAAGCTTTAATAACAAAGCAATATTTTTTTTTTTTTTTTGTAGCAAAATCATTTAAACGTTGTGTTGTTCTCTTATTTTATTTTCAGAAAGTCGATGGAATGCAAGAACTTGAAAAAGGGAAAGCATCCCTTGGAACGACTAAAAAGGGCATCGGGCCAACGTATTCTTCTAAAGCAACCAGGAATGGACTTCGGGTAGCCGATTTGCTCGGGAATTTTGCGTTATTTTCCGAAAAGTACGTTTTAGATTCCATACATGCAATTATGAGTAGAATGGATTATTATTATTATTATTATTATTATTATTATTAAGGTTTCGTGGCCTTGTTCAAATGTACCAAAGAATGTTTCCGGAATTGGAAGTGAACGTGGAAGAAGAATTACTTAGGTATAAAAATTTTGCCCAAGGTATTCGACCCTACGTCACGGAAACAGTTAGTTATTTACATAATGCTTTAAAATCTGGGAAAAGAGTTTTAGTCGAGGGAGCCAATGCAGCCATGTTAGACATCGATTTTGGTAAATTTTTTTTTTTTTTTTTTTTTTATAAAGATTTAATCACAAATTTTATCAACACTAATAATTTATCAGGTTTTTCCTTTTTTCCCTTTTTTTTTTAAAGTAAAGTTAAATAAATTAAAGTAAATAAGTAAAAGATTAAAATGATTTTATGGGGGAAAGAAGAAAATTTGTTTTTAATTTTTTTTTTTTTTTTGGTCGAAAAATTACTTTTTCCTCGTTGATATTAATAACGAAAATCCCACGATTAATAAAACAAAAGATAGATAGTTTAGTGGTATTTAGTGGTATGTAAATTTCATCCCCTTTTTCCCTTGTTTGATTTTCAAAATTTACAGTAAAAAATAATTATTATTATTATTATTATGTTTTTTTTCTGTGTAAATTAATTTTTCAAATGTTTATGTATTTTTTTTTTTTTTT